GTGACTGCAAAGCAGAGTTACTCCCTCAGTTACTTCATGCCTACCTATGCCATGCTTTCAGGTTCCAAATGGCTTTCTCTGCTGCCCCCTTGAGGATTTTAGCATTTATGCCACACAGGGTTTAACAAAGCCCACCTTAGGATACAGGAAAATAAAACAGCTAAAAGGGCCAAAAGAATGTCCTTAAAGGATTTATTTCTAATGGATGGATGAATTAACAAAATGATAACTATAGAAACTCTGAATCTACTATTACTTAGAAATAAAGATCTTAAAGATCATTTGAAAGGACAATCAAACTTAATGTGCTTTTTTTCAGAGCTTTAGATGAGAAAAATGCTATATAGTACCTGATTGGCGGTGTACACTGCATTTCTAGCCGTGCTCACCTGAAATAATTGCTAAGTTACTAGGACACGCATACTTACCATTCAATGCTAGCATTCAACAAATGGACTGTCAGGATTTCTTTGAGCCAAGAAACATTGTTTTAAAAAATTACTTATTTGTGAGGGGAGTCATGAATTCAGAGAGTTTGGGACCTTGTGTACTGCTACAGTTTAGTATAAATTACAGCATTCTTGTGCTGGCTAGTTTTATATCAACTTGACACCTGCTAGAGTCATCAGAGAGAATGGAGCCTCAATTAAGAAAATGCATCTACAAGATTGGACTATAAACAAGTTTGTAGATATTTTCTTAGTAATTGATGAGTAAGGACCAACCCTGTCTATTGTGTTTTGGGGAGGACAGTGAAAAGACTTTGGAACTTTGGACTGGAAAAGCCATTGAGTGTTCAAACCTCAGTAGGCTGCTCTAAAGGAGCTTGGAAAATAAGAATGTTGAGAGCAGCGTAGGCAGTGGAGACTTGGCTTGTGAAGTTTCAGATGTGTGAAGAATCTGTGGTGTCTGGTCAGCTGGAGCTGTGATCACCAAGAGACCGGAACCACTAAAGTAAACCCTTGCTTTGCTGGGACAATGGATGCTGGTCAGCTGGTGCTGAAGAATCAGCTGTGTTTAAAAGGCAACCAACATCACAGAGGTGAAATCTTCTGGGAAGTGGTTCCTCAGAGTCAGCACACAGCTGTATTCCAGAAGTGGGCCAAAGTTGTAACTTGTGCTGGCAGCTGAACTTGGTAGTATAAGAATCACCCATGGTACTGGTTGTGAAGGCTTGGGACTGAGGCTTGGGACTGTGAGGCCAAGAGACCACTGGTGAAGGTGCATCCTCAGTAGCAGTTAAAGGCCCAGGATTAAAGGGGTCATGCAGAGAAGGGAGAGGCTATTGATCAAAGTGCAACTCAGTTATTGTAACTTTTTGCCAACTGCTGGCAACTCCAGCACTTTGGAGATGCCAGTACCATGGGATGGCTCCCAGGAACAGTAGCAAGTATAAGTGAAGCCAACCTGAGCCTAGACGACAAGCTGTATGAGCTGCAGAGGGTGGAGCCTGAGAAGTGATCCCAGATATTAGACACTGGATTATTTACACTGTTGTTTTGCTATGCTTTGATTGTGACTGTGCTCTGGTTCTTCCCTCCCGAAGTAAATATTTAACTTTTTATTGCTTTCACAGGAGCCCATGCTTTAAAAACTTTGAACTTTTAAGGGGACTCCGTATTTTAAAAGAGATTTTGAATTGTTTAAAAAGATTGATTATAAAGTGTTTGACTTTGTAAAGACTATGGAACTTTTTAAGTTTTTAAAATGTTTCATACTGTGGTTTTATATTAATATATGATCTTGGAAGTTAACAAGAAAGGAAAGTTATAGCTTAGCAGTAATGTGTTCATGTGTCAAGCTGAGTAGGGATCAGTTATGTTGTAGGCTAGTTTTACATTAACTTCATACAAACTAGAGTCATCAGAGAGGAAGGAGCCTCAATTGAGAAAATGCCTCTGTAAGACTGAACTATAGAAGAGCCTGTAGGGCATTTCTTAACTAGTAATTGATGAAGAAGAGTCCAGCCTATTGTGGGTGGTGCCACCCTTAGGCTTGATAGCCCTGTGTTCTATAAGAAAGCATGAACATTGTCAAGCAGAACAAGCCAGTAAGCAGTACTGCTCCATGGTCTCTGCATCAGGTCCTGCCCGGTTTGAGTTCCTGCCCCAGCTTCATTCAATGAAGAACTATGATGAAGTGTAAACCAAATAAGCCCCTTTCTCCCCTACTTTTTTTTTTTTTTTTTTTTTTTTTTTTTTTGGCATGGTGTTTCATCATAGCAATAGCAATCCTAACTAAGGAAACTCTTATCAACTATATGGTAAGAGACACATAAATACTAGGAAGGGGGCATAAGAGGCGGCAGTACAAAGTATGATCAAAATATATGCTATACAGTTACAGAAATATCATTATTTTCTATCAAAGAAACACAGTAGTTTAGAGAGACAGAGAGAGAAATGTACCTGCTGAGAAGTCCACTGCTCAAGAGGACGCTCTAGCATATGGGAAACTATGGTGGCAGGTAAGTTCCTGGCTAGGATGGAAAAATTAAACAGCCTTACTTATCATATGGATCACAATGTTTCCAAAAATATTTACTTCTAAAACTGAAATAATACATTTTAAAAAGATTTAATCGGAGTATGAGTAAAGATTCAGGGTACTATTTTATGTAGACTGGTACATTCTTAAGGCAAAAAAATTCAATATATTTAAATTGAAAACATTAATGATTACTTCAAAAAAAATTAAGACCAGGTGTGGGCACATGCCTTTAATTCCTTTACTTAGGAAGCAAAGGTAGAGAGATTGTAGGCTCAAGGTCAGCCTTGTTTACAGTGAGTTCCAGGACAGCCAGGGCTACTTAGAGAGACCCTGGCTCAAATAAATAAATAAATTTCTTTGTTTTGCAGGAGTATTTGTCTGCGGGCATATATATATATATATATGTGTGCCGTGTGCATGTTGGGTCCTACAGAGGTCAGGGAGGATGTTGGGAACCAGATCTATATCCTCTGCAAAAGCAGCACGTACTTTGTAGCTGCTGGGCCATCTGTCCAGTTCCCTTACTGGTCACTATATCTTAGTGGGGATATGTTCTTGCAACTTTTTTGGCACGTAGTTTAAAAAAAAAATAATATATTCTAAGTCAACAGAATATATTTATCACCTATATTACAAATGTTAAAAACTGTTGAGAACTGCCCAATTGTTAAGAACAAGAAAACTAAGAAAACTAAAATTAACACTATTGTATGCACAACCACAGTGGGGCAAGAGGGGCACCAGTCTATCCAAACCTTTCTCAAATCCATCTGACTACAGTGTGGGAACTTTGCTATATTTGCTGGCCTGCAAACCACTATGTAGAGCAGAAATCTGCCATGCAGTGTTGGAATTAAGGCAGGTACTGAAATGCCCGGCCAGCACTGGGGAACATAGTAGTAATGAAAGGGAACAACAAAGAAGACAGCCACACAGTTAAACCAAAGTCAGAGTATGATAGGAAAGGATGTCATACAGAAAAATGATGTGTTACTGAGACCTACAGCCACATCAGAAGGTGTGAAAAAGCAGGGGATAAGACTGACAAGGTGGGCCGACCAGCAGCATAGCATGAGCACACTCCTAACAAGACAACACTCAGCCTCACTTCATACTGCACTCAGAAGTACTTTTTCAGTATATTTAGTACCAAAATTGATGATTTCATTAAAGTCCCCTAGAGTTAGTGCTACATAGCGTTCCTTGTTTTATTTATTTGTTTGTTTATTTATTTGTTTTGGTTTTTCAAGGCAGGGTTTCTCTGTTGCTTTGGAGCCTTCCTGGAACTAGCTCTGTAGACCACGCTGGCCTTGAACTCACAGAGATCCGCTTGCCCCTGCCTCTCAATTTCATTTCAGTTTATAGATCAGTTATATCTATTCATGTTTATTTTAATTTTTTATTATAAATTTTTTAGAAAATAAACTGCAACTACTATTAAATTTAGCATTTCAAAGAATTTCAGAATGTATGGTAATTTTCTCATACTTTTAGTAAAAATGACCTAACAGATATGAACAAGAATTTAAAATTAAAGTCGGGTGGTGGTAGCATAAACCTTTAACCCCCGCAGAGGCAGGCGGATCTCTGACTTTGAGGCCAGCATGGCTTATAGAGTGAGTTCCAGAACAGCCAGTACTACACAGAGAAATACTGTCTGAAAAACCAAAATAAAGTAAAATAAGATTTAATTTTAACATTGGGTATCACAGAGTGTTGTTCATTTACTGTCATGTATTATAGATCAGTTGGAGCTATGCAACAAGATGTTGTCTTAAAACATACACACATTATAGCTGGAAAGATGGCTCAGTGGTTAAGAGCATTGGCTGCTCTTCCAGGTCTTGAGTTCTATTTCCAGCAGCCACATGAAGGGTCACAACCATCTATAGTGGGATCTGATGCCCTTCTCTGGCATAAAGGCATACATGCAGATAGAGCACTCATACATAAATAAATCTTAAAAAAAATTAAACCACACACATATATATACACACACACACACACACACAAACTGGGTGGTGACACCCAGCACTCAAGAGGCAGAGACAGGCAGATGTCTGAGTTTGAAGCTAGCCTGGTTTACAGAGCAAGTTCTAGAACAGCCAGGGCTACACGAAAACCCTGTCTATAAAGACCAACCAACCAGCAAAAAACCAAACACACACACTGTTTGATGTTAAGTAGACTGGGGAACTGTGAAAGGAAAGAGACTCAGTCATCACTATAATATCCTCTATTAAAGTTGTCATTACCAAACTTATGGGTTACACTCTGTAATCCCCAACCCCCTCTGTTGAGAGATGGTCTTCGTAGCAGACTGGCCTCAAACCCACTCTAGTTGAAAATAACTTTAAATTCCCTTGATATTGCCTTGCTTTCCAAGTGCTGAGATTACAGGAATAAGCCACCATGCTCAGCCACCACATATGTAAATACAGCAGACTGCTAGTATCTTCATTTTTCTGAGCTACAAAGGGAACAACAAAAACAAGACAGGTGACTCTAACCTTCAGGACTGACATCTGGGTCTTGTATGTGCCGAGCTTCTTGTTGGGAGGCATGGTTTTCATTCTGTATTGCCAAGCTTCCTAAAGTTGTGCCATGCTCAGACAGTGACTTTAAAAGGGACATATTGTTTATTACTTCAGAAAGTTCTGAAGAATTTCTAGAAGTAGCTGAGGATTGTTTGCTTCTCTGTGTAGTTTCCACTGCAAAACGATCACATGGCAAACTTCTAATCCACCCTAAATCTTCAGATTCAGGAATGTATGCTTCAGTGTCTTTATAAATAGGATGTTCTGTTCCTACCGGGTAAAATAAAGAGCTAGAAACCTGGGTGTTGGATTCATCTAGTTCACGACATTCAGAGTGATGCTGAGTGGTTTTCAATAGCTGGATACTAACACCTCTGGTAGAGACTGGTGATAAAAGCTGCTCATTACCTACGTGACTTCCCAAAGTAAAAGGCTGAGGCTGGGTACCTTCTGAGAAGAGGTCACCATTTTCAGGAGCTGGAGTTGTGACTGTGTTTAAAAAATAAGGAATATGTGAACATGTATTTATACCTTTGGGTGTATTTGAGGGTGAAACAATACCATAATTAGTCCCATCTCTTTGGATAGATTTATTAGCATCGTCTCTGCTATCTCCTGGCACATCCTCATTCCACTCCTGCGATGAGTCCAGACTGCTCCCTGTGTCACCACCCCGCTCCAGCACTGCTTCTCTAGGGTTTGCATCTTCATGAGGTCCTGTGTAAAAACCAACACAGGTTCTATCACAAAACTCTGACAGCAGCGTCTCGTTAGCAGGAAGGACATCTTTAGGCTTGCCACTGGCAGAGGATGGGAATGGCAAGAGTTGCCGTGCAGTTTCTTGGTAGCCTATACCCCCACAGCTCTTTAGAACACATGAATCATCTGTAGGCAAAATTTCCTTTTCTCTACTCTCTGAGTCCTGGGAGAGTTTGTCGTCCTCTTGTGATGCTTCATCAGTGTCACTGTCCTCAAAATTGCTCAGATTAAAAGAAACTTCCAGAAATGGTTGTGAAGATTTATGAATAGTATCCAGACTTCCTCTATCAGCATCACTTTTAGAACCCACGTCTGCAATGTCATCAGAGATGCTAGAGTTCTTACTTGGAGAAGGTTCGACTTCAATGTGTTTATGTTCTACTTCTGGCAACGGCGATACTGATAAACAGGACATACACTCTTGTTCCAGTGTGGCATCTGCATCTGCCACCAGAATACTTTCTCCAGTGCAAAGCAAAGCTCCCATACACTCCTTGTCATTTTGATTAGAAGTGACTTTGTTATTGTTCTGAATGTCAGGTTCTAATAATAAATCAACATTTTCTTTACTACTACAGTTAACCAGTAAGTTGTTGTTCTCACAGAACAGAGGTGCTCTGAAGTTTTCTTTGTGATTCCAGCTCTGGCAGCTATTGTCTACTGGCTTGTCTTCACGGTATAGTTCTCCCTTTTCAGCACATGTTTCGAAGAGCTCTGCCTTTTTTTCCACCAAAAGTTCAGACAAATTAAAAATGTTCATATCTCCTTGGGCTTCAGGCTTGTCCTCTCTACCATTCTCATCTCTAGGAGAACAGGGAGGCGATCTCTGGGAGGATAAATACATGGTCCACCGGCTTGTAGCTCTTGTGGGGTTTTCTGCCTGTAGCTCACAGAGTGAATTTGCTGAGCTCTTTCTCTCAGCATACTTTTCCTCTAGCTTAGAAGTAGTCTTGGAGCACCCCTGTGGTTGTATCTCAAAAGTCAGATTCTTACTCATGTTGGCTGATTTGGACTTCAGAAGAGCTAATATTTGTGCTTTGCTCCTGAGGTTTTGTGAAACTCCAGGACAGTGAGATTCCAAACTATTACTTCTTGTGGGCTCAATGCCCAGTAAAGCATCTGAATACTGGGTTGCAGAGGTGACAGGAGAGCAAAACTTGTCCTCTCTCCTTAGTATGTCTGAGTTAACACCAAAGGATGAAGACACAAGGGAAAAAGGCCTGTTGCTTCTCTCTCTGTTCCTGAACGTATTCTCACTGACCGCCAGTGTATAATTCATATCTTTCTCACCAACAGTAGAAAACAAAGGAAGTGTGCTAGGGAGCGGGAGAGGAAGTGTCGGGCCAGGTTTCAAATCATCAAATGAGGCAACGGATTCACCATTTTCTGTAACAGTCACTTTCTTTGGTGCCTTATATGGTATTTGAAATCCCTAAAGACATTAAAACAATCGTTAATGATACCATTATTTCTAAGGAAAATGTGAAATAAATTTTCTAAAAAGAATAACAGATATGTATATCTTGCCCAAGGTATATAGTATTTAAATTTTGCTGAATTAAAATATAGACATTCATTAGGAAGACTTTCCTAATTTGGATCTACTGTCTTGTCACTTAAATAAACTATGAGATACCATTTTACCAGCAAACCATCATAAAAATTTACCAGTTTCAAAAATAACTTTTTAACTATACACTGAAATATTAGTGTTCACACAGAAACTTACAGTAGCCTTCCTTTTTAAGCCAGAGGGCTGACACCCAAGAGACCGGCTCGAGGATATAAATGTCCTTGGACCTGACTCCAGAGCTTCTCTAGGGCCATCCAGTTTAACACCTCTACTTCCAGCAGCCTTAGCCTCCTCAACCGTGATTAAGTAATGCTCACTTTCCAAGTCATCGCCAGGTTTCACCTACATTTTAAAAAATAAACATCACAATTGCATTTGGGTCATTTTATTTTCCTCACTAGCAGCCTCACTAGCAATGAACAAGACCCAACAAATATTCAACCTCCTTGCTAAAGAAATCATTCAGTAACTAAATTCTTCAACAATTCATTATTATGTACCAATTAACCATCAAAAATACGAAAATGGTAATAATGCAATAAAAGCGTCACTAATTTGTTCTTCAGCCATTCATTCTGTGGTGCTGCAGAGGCCCTTTGTCATATGCTAAGAACGTAAGACAGAGGAAAACTTCCTTTCACATAATTCACTTAAGAGTCCACGCAACTAAATGCAGTATTTAAAAAAGTCAAAGCCAGCTCTTTCCATCTTCTTGTCGGAGAGGCAGCTTCGCTTCTGCCTCTCTCTCCCCACTTCTCTGCTTCCCCCTTCTCTGTCTCTTTCTTCTCCTCTCTCTCTCTCTCTCTCCCTCCCTCTCTGCCCCCCCTTCACCCTTCCTCCTCCATAACTCCTTGAATAAACTTCAACCTCACCCTGCAAAAAAAAAAAAAAAAAAGTCAAAGCCATTAGTTATCAACTCTGGATCCTTACAAATGTATGTGAAGCAGAACTTCACAATTATCACAAATAGTTATAAAAAAGAGTATTTTTCAGTCATTTTATTAGTCACCAACTCTAGGTAAAACATTAAGATTATCAGCTTAGAAAATATATCTTTATCATATTAAACATTTAGTAATGAAACTACTTAGGATAAAAATAACAGTAGTTACATTAATTAAGCACCTACCAAGAAAATGTCTCCCCTTGACCCTCTTTTCATAAATCTAAAGGAACAACCACTATAAATGATATGAGATTTCATGGCCAAATAGTCACAAAGTGATGTTATCGTTATGAATTTTTTTTCCACTATACAAACGAGGATATCGGTATGAATTTTAACGCATGACATTATAATAAGTAATTTCTAATCTTCAGAACAATACTGATCTATGTTTCTAGCTGAAGAGTGGACACAGATCACGGGCTGCATAAAAGGTGTTTCAGAGTCTGAAAGGAGACAAAAGCAGTTCTAAGGCCTTCAATTCCTTTCCTTCTTCAAACACAAGAACAACACTGAGTACATTATGTGTGTAATGTATGTTTTTTTTGAGAAAGTGTTCAAATGGGAATAATTTCAAAGACTATCAACCATGAAGGCTAAAGACAGAGCTCAAAGGGGCTGGAGAGATGGCTCAGAGGTTAAGAGCATTGCCTGCTCATCCAAAGGTCCTGAGTTCAATTCCCAGCAATAACATGGTGGCTCACTACCATCTGTAATGGGGTCTGGTGCCCTCTTCTGGCCTGTAGATATACACACAGACAGAATATTGTATACATAATAAATAAATAAATATTTTTTTAAAAAAAAGACAGAGCTCAATAGTGGAACACACAACCTCATATGCATGAAGTCTATCGTCCCATGCCCAACACAACAAATCCTCACCTATTAGATTCTAGAATCACAACCTGGGTTTGAATATGTCCTGCAACTAGCATTCTATGAGCATAAGCAGCTACTAAACCTTTCTGTGCTGCATTCCTAACATAAACACATCATAACATTGTCACAAAAATTAAAATGAAATAACTAAAAGCTGTTAGCACAAGGTACAACTATAATAAATGAACAATAACACAGGCTATAATTAATCAGCATTAGTACTATAACTAAGCCATTAACAACATTCATAATAAAGTATCTAAGTAAATTTTTAAATTTCAAAAAAGTAATGTAAATACATTAAAATACCTCGAGGCTCTTAAGAAATAGACTTTCCAAACATGCTCCTTTGTCATCATATAGAATTGCCTGTTATAAAATAAGAAAAAAGTTACAAAGTTTTCCTTTTCATTTCTTAGTATCTTCAATAGCAAATCAAATTTGTCACATAAGTAAATCATGTAATAAAAGAATTATATACATTCTGTAACTTGGATTTGTAAGTACGTCTCTTTCAAATGTTGCTGCATCCAATGAGCATGAGAGCCTAGGAATAGAGGAAGCAATTCAAGGACTCAGGCTCAGGGGAATAGCTCAGTAATGCACTTTTTGACAAGCAAAAGGACCTGAAGTCAGTTCTCAGCACGTAAAAGTCTGACATGGTGGTATGAGCCTACATTTCTAGGAGAGATGAGGGAGATGGAGAGACAGGAGGCCAGTCTAGCAATTGGTGAGCTAGCTCTAAGTTCAGTGAAAGACCCTGTCTCAAAAGATAAGGTGGATAGGGGACATCTAATGTGGATTTTCTAGCCTCTATACATTCAAGAACACATATATATTCACTCCCAACACCCTTAAAAAAAGAGAGAAAAATTAAAAAAAAAATAATTCCTACCAGAAAAATCCTTGAATGGACTTGGGAACAAAATAGAATTAGAATGCATTGAGTGTGGCCAATAAAAAATAAAATCAGGGACTGAAGAGATGGTTCAGCAGTTAAGAACACTTGCTTCCAGATGGCTTGAGTTTTGTACCCAGAACTCATGTCCAGCGACTCACAATTGCCTGAAACAACTCCAATGTCTTCTTTATAAATTTACAAAATAAACATATAAATAAAAGCAGGTATGGTGATTCATGCCTGTAATCCAGCACTTGGGAGGCAGAGGCAGGTGGATCTCTGTGAGTTCAAGGCCAGCCTGATCTATATCCTAAGACTCTATTGTAGGAGAAGGAGGCCACTTGTTGGCTTCTGGCTGCTCAACCCCAAAATAATAACACAGAAACCATATTATTTAAATCACTGCTTGGCCCATTAGCTCTAGGTTCTTATTGGCTAACTCTTACATCTTAATTTAACCCATCTCCATTAATCTGTGCATTACCATGAGTCCGTGGCCTACTAGCAAAATTTCAGCGCATTGTCTCCAGGAGCTTCATGGCTTCTCTCTGACGCTGCCTCCTTTCCCCAGGATTCCATTTAGTTTTCCCTGCCTAGCTCTTTTCCCCTATAGCTCTGCTATAGGCCCAAAGAGTTCCTTTATTAACCAATGATAGTCACAGCGTACAGAGGGAAATCCCACATCACTCCGTCTCAAAAACAAAAATATGTGTGTGTGCATATATTTGTGTGTATGCATATATAATACACGTGTATATGTGTGTGTATATATATACACATACATACATACATACATACAGGCTGGCATACATTGAACTTGCAGACTTAAGTCAAAGCTACTTTTTTAAATTATTTATTTATTTGTATTTTATGTGCATCAGGTTTTTTGTTTGTTTGTTTGTTTTTGTTTTGAGATAGGGTTTCTCTGTAGCTTTGGAGCCTGTCCTGGAACTAGTTCTTGTAGACCAGGCTCACAAAGATCCGCTTGCCCCCACCTCACGAGTGCTGGGATTAAAGGCGTGCGCCACCACCGCCCAGCTGTGCATCAGTATTTTGACTGCATGTATGTCTGTGTGAAGGTGTTGGATCCCCTGAACAGGAGTTACAGACAGCTGTGAGCTGCCATGTGGATGCTGGGAATTGAACCCAGGTTCTCTGGAAGAGCAGTTAGTGTTCTTAACCACTGAGTCATCTCTCCAGACTGCTAAGCTAGTTTTTATTTTAACAAATCAAATATTTTTTTAAAAATACAATAAATAACCTCTTCCCCATTGAAAAGCTTCTGTAAGTGATAGTTTTACAACAGTGGCTCTCAACATATGGGTTACAACCCCTTTAACAAATCTCTATCTCCAAAAATATTTCATTACAATTAATAACAGTAACAAAATCACAATTATAAAGTAGGAACAAAAATAATTTTATGGTTGGGGTCATAGCAACATGAGGAACTGTATTAAAGAGTCCCAGTATTCAGAAGATTGAGAAGCACTGATTTACAACGACAGAAGCAGAATAAAGACAGAATGTGAAGGGCCTGAATAGTGTCACTAAGAACATGTGCTTCATCAGGAGGCCATGACTGTCATTAGTATGCACATGATATCATAAACCCACAACCAAGTTTCTGTAAGAGTTATTATTAAAAAAGACTTAGCTAGAGCAGCGTTGTTGTGGCACACGCCTTTAATCCCAGCACTTAGGTGGCAGAGCAGGGCATCTCTTGAGTTTGTGGCCAGGCTGGTAAACAGAGCAAGTTCCAAGACAGCCAGGGCTAAACCGAGAAATCCTGCCTTGAGTGGTGGAAGGATGAGGGAGGGACTTGCCTAGAAAACAGGCCCTGGAGCCATGTCTAAATTCATGAATGACTCTTGGGTATGATGTACCTGTGCCCCCAGTTTGATCATCGGTTAAATAATGAAATGCCTAACTCAGAGGAGAGTGGTACAGACTAAACTGGTAGACTGAGAGCTTTATGACCGCACATCGTGAGTCTCTCTACTCAAAACAGACTGAGTAATGCTCACTTACTGAACTTTCAGAATATACAAAGAACATAAGAAAATGATCTGAAAATTTCTTTTTCACACCATGGTAATGTATGGCCATAACTGACATCTTATTATCAACAGAGTTATCCTAATGCACAATCAAAAGGCAAGAACATAGCTGTTACACGCCAGAGTCAACTGCTTGGCACTCACCTTGTTGCCTAAGTGAGTGGTCTTCAGAATGCCATCTTGCCACACTTTTGACTTCTTCATCTTTTGATGAGTATATAGGACCTTATTTCCAAAAGTACAGAAGAAATCATTGCTATTTACACATTTAATATTACAGTTTACAGGCCATAAAAAAACAAAACATCCCGTATCAAAATAATAGCACAGGCATCACCACAGTAACAAAGTCAGTGACAGAGCGCATCCTCAGCATCATGAGGCCCTGAGTTTAACCCTCAACATAATAAAGGAAACAAACAATTTTAAGGAAAGGAAGACAGCTGACTAGGTGGGTAGAACCAAAAGGCAAAGGAAGAAAGGGCAAGTGAAGGCCTATAGAGTCTTTTAGTTAACTGAGCATCAAAAATAATTTAAACTGCGACATCATCAGAGGGAAGGAAAAACAATTACTGGGTTACACATTCCTTACTCATGTAGCTCTCTGAACACAGTCTACCCCACCTTCACAGCACCTGAGGACAGACCGATTTCACACTGCCTCTGCCTTTAGACTCCCCCTCTATCAGCGGAAGAATGGAGTTTCCAAGCATTATATATGGTGCCAGATTCAATCAGACTGAACAGAGAAACAAGTATGAAAATCTAGCTGACTATTACTAAAGCAATTGGTAAAGAAATTTAGAAAAAAAAAAATGCCTAGCGCCGGGTGGTGGTGGCGCACGCCTTTAATCCCAGCACTTGGGAGGCAGAGGCAGGCGGATCTCTATGAGTTCGAGACCAGCCCGGTCTACAAGAGCTAGTTCCAGGACAGGCTCCAAAACCACAGAGAAACCCTGTCTCGAAAAACAAAACAAAACAAAAAAATGCCTAGCAATGCAGAGGTTTGGGTACATAGCTCAGCTGAAAAGCATTTGCCTCGTAGGCATGAGGACCTGACTTTGAGCCCCAGAATCTACATAAAATGCTGGACATGATAATGTATTCTAGGCACACAGAAAACACCTAGGATCCCAGCCAATCTAACTTAATTGGTAAGCTCCAGACCACTAAAGACCCTGTCTCAAAGGAGGTGGGTGGTGTTTCTAAGGCTGGCACACACACACATATGTACACACATATGCATATACACAGGCCTTCATTGTCTTCAAAATCTAAGAATGCTACCCTTGTAAAGGTTATCTCCTAGTGCAGTTATTTCTTTGGAAAATTTAGCTACTTATCATTAAAAAAAGTACTTTACATTATAATGTAACATATTAGTTACTTTTTAGTATTTTTAAGCTGTTTCTATGCCTAACGTAAGTAATATTATATAGAAGTTCTATGTACAAAAGCTATTTAGTGTCTTCAATATTGTTTGAGTACAAAAAGGTTTTAAGACCAAATTATGTGTCGCTATAGGCAGGAATGTCACCAGTGACAGGTCTTAAAGCAAAAAATGTTGTTTCCTGGTACAAAGAAAAAATACTCACTAATACTTCATCAAACTTCATCAAGAGTTTGAGGCCAGTCCTATCCCCTACCCCTCTCCCCACAAAAAGGAAAATTATTAAAACTTACAATAAATTCTTGACTTTCCATTGTTCCTTCTGAAACTATAAACCAGTCAGGTCCAGAAAGCAATCAATTTTTACTCAACAATTTATATTCTCTGAAAAAAAAAAAAAAAAAAAAAAAAAAAAAAAAAAAAACGGTCAATCAGCCCTGACAAAAAGAGTAAGTATCAAATACAAAGATTCTCAACAAATCTTGATTAGAGACAGAAACCAAAGAATTTCAAGATTATCAGTCTATCTAGCCACCATGCGAAGCAAAAGTGTATCTGTCGGGGAGGACACAACTGAGTGATACCACATAATGGAAAATGAAGATGAAACTACTATACTTACTAATAATCTGTAAACATCTCTCTAGGTACCTTAGTATGTATCAGAAAGTAGATTTTTTTTTTTTCCTTCAATAATGTTTTGCTCCTGGGAACTCAAATTCAATTATTTTCCTAAAGCATTAAACTCACCACAAGATGGCCCCCTTGTGTCTTACATTTTTCCTGTTCAAGTAGTTCCTTAGTATCCAGGGCCTAGTTTCAGGACCACAAATAACCAACATCTAGGGCTACATGAGTTCACATATAAAATGTCTTAGTTTTTTGTAAATATTATAGTAGATGCATATTTTCCAACATACATGAAACTATCTCTGGATTACTTATACCTAATGCATTATAAGCGATATGTAAAGAGAGAATGATTAAACTGTATTGTTTAAAAAAATCAGTCTCAAAGAGAGATGGGGGGAGGGAGAGAGGGAGGGAAGGAAAGAAGGAAAGGAAATTAAGGAAGGAAGGAAGGAAGGAAGGAAGGAAGGAAGGAAGGAAGGAAGGAAGGAGAGTAGGCAGGCTTGGTGGCATGCACTTTTTTGTGTACTTTTTTGGGATTTTTTTTTTTTTTTTTTTTTTTTTTTTTTTTTTTTTTGAGACAGGGTTTCCCTATGTAGTTTAGGCTGTCCTAGAAATAGCTCTGTAGACCAGGCTGGCCTAGAACTCACAGAGATCCGCCTGCCTCTGCCTCTCAAGTGCTAGATAGCACAAATCTTTGATTCCAGCGCAGAAGCAGCAGAGTCAAGTGGGTCTCTGTGAGTTCAAGGCAAGCCTGGTAGCCTGGTCTACAGAGACAGCTCCAGGACAGCCAGAGGTACATAGATGAGAGACCTTGTCTAAAAAAGGAGATAGGAAATTGTAACCAAAAATCTACATGTTCAATACTGCCAATTTTTTTCTGAATATTTCCAACTCACAGCTGGCTGGATCCAGTTACAGAGGGATGATTGATACCTTAGCCAATGTAACCCACCATAGGACCAAACACGCATTATTATAATACCTCTGCAAGGAAACATTTTTCCCCATTTCTAGGGGCTGACAACAAGGCCCTATGTAAGCTAAGTAATAATGCTTCCACATGCCCAGTTTTCTGTTTGAGACAGGACCTGGCCAAGTTGCACAATTCTCCTGTCTCGGCCTTTGGAGTAGTTGGGATATATTACAGGCAGCTGGCCACCACGCCCAGGAAGAAAACTCTTTTGAACAGTGTTGCAGCAGCTACTGTAACTATCCTGTTACTGGATATTAAAAATATGGCCAAATTTTGAAATCTGAAATCATCGATGGTGAATTGAATAGAGATGCCAAAAAAGTACACAAATGAGTACATTTCAAGTGGTTCCGTAGCCATGACCTCATCACTACAGGAGAACTAGACAGCAATGAACATTTTAGGTCCTATTCCTGCCTACTGAATTAGAAAGTCTGGTTCTGGAGCGCAACAAACGGCTCTAACAAGTCCTCTTCAGCGGTGGTGACGCCCAAGCCGGAAACAGAATGCGCAGAAGCCTGATTCCTAAAGAAGCATTCGAGGGCGAAGTGAGCGACAGGGCCGGAGTCATCAGTAATCGGATGTATGCAACCTTATTCTGTTAGGCCGAGAGGGAGAGCTTTCCGTGAAGGCAGCGGGAAGCCGTGCCCCGACCATGCTTCCTGAGAAAAGCTGCTACAGCAGTTCAATGAGAGCGCACCCGAGCTAGCCCGAAGTCCCAGGTTCGCTCCCCGGCACCGCCCAAACCACGAGCATCCTGTTAAGACACCACCAGGACAAATAACCGAAAGAAACATTACTTTCACTTGCAGAATTTCGGACTGATCAGAGTTTTGTGACCCTAAATAAAATAACAGGAGCCTTGGTTCTATGTCAGCCCCTAAGACAACCAAGACCGGGCTGGGACTCGATGGTGACCCGCCTCACCCGGCATTCGAACAGCGCCCCGTGGGCCGCTCCCGTGGAGGCGAGTCCGAGTCCAGGCTCTCCGAGCCGTGCCAAGTCGCCCGGCCTCTCCACCCTACACTCCGTAGAAGAGAGTCTTCACTTCTCCTCAGGGACACAGAATCCACTTTCGAATTTCTCCCGCGAACTCGCGCGACGTCATCAGCCAGGGACGGATTGCTGAGGGCCCCGCCCCCCAGCCCCGCCGCCGTCCGCAAAGCACCAATGGAATTTCTCATAGGAGAGCGGTCACCGCCTCGATCTCCCGCCAGATCCCGCCCCCGAGGAGCGTCACCCATGACGTCACGACGGAAGTCCCGGTTCGGACGCCGCTTCCCACAGGGAGCAGAGGGAAGCGCGTCGCTCGTCGGATGACGCGAATTTACGCCGACCCGAAGGACCGGGAGGCAGAAAGCGTGGAAGGAGGCTGTCGCTGACCGTGGCTTTGGGGACGTGAACAGAGTAAGTCACAGATGGCCGGTAGTGCCACTCGGACACGGTGAGATGTACATTCGGCGTCCGGTCCGCTGCGGCCCAGCCCACCCGCCGTGGTCCGCCTCACCCCGCCCCCCTCTCCCCTAGTCCGTTGGTGCGGCTGCTCGGTGCGCACGCGCAGTGCTCTAGCGCCGCTTGCAGTTCCCATCCCGGGACGGAGGGGGCGGGCCGAGCTCAGTGTTGGGAGGTTTGGGGCACGCCCGGCTTCTGGGGGGCTGTCCAGTAGCTGAGCGGTGCTCTGGGCACTAGGCAGCTTGGGGTTGAGCTTCGGCTTCCAGAACACAGCCGTTGTGAGGACTTGCTTTCTAAAATTGAGGCTTTTCTTTGGCAAGACTCCCGGCCTTTTAGTCTCCTATAGAAAGTCTGTTTTAGGGAGGAGCTGGCTTTAAGCGATGAGTGTTAAATTCCGAGCGCGCTTAGGACAGTTCACTGGGACTGGAAGGCCTGTGGAAGACTACCTTTAGTGGGACATCGGGTGGCTTTAGAAAGCATGTTTACACTAGAAGGTTCATTCGGAGCAAAGATCCAGGCCACTGTCTTTTGCTCCCTTTGGATAGTCTTGTCATGACTACAACTTTGGTTCTCAATCTTTTGGGCACGCTTCTTTTTGTTCATAATAATAATAATAATAATAATAATAAAAGTATCATAGCCAAGTTTCCTTTTTTTTTTTTTTTTTTTTTTTTGGTTTTTAGAGACAGGGTTTCTCTGTAGCTTTGGAGCCTGTCCTGGAACTCCCTTTGTAGACAAGGCTGGCCTCGAACTCACAGAGATCCGCCTGCCTCTGCCTCCCGAGTGCTGGGATTAAAGGCGTGCGCCACCACTGCCCTGCTCAAGTTTCTTTGGAAAGTTTACATGTACCCATAGAAACATATTGTGTATGCTTTTACAAGCAAAATGTTTATATATAGTAGAAAATAGGACATTCACTGTCTTTGAACAATGTTACAACTTTGTAACTTGTAGGAGAGTTAAAAATGGAAACCATGTTTGCCAGAGTAAGATATAATTCATTACTGGGCTGACCAGGGTCTGTTAGCATTCATTTCTACTTTCTCCTGCATATTGATCTGCTCTTTGCTCCTTTAAATGGACTTGTGGCACTGAATTTTGCCGTTCATTTTGTATTTTCTTTAAAATTTATCTTGTAACCATCTCTTGAATTCCTAAGGTTTCTTGAAACTCACCTGAAGTGTCATGGGGCTTCAGACTAAGAAGTCCTGGGTCAGACTATAATATGAATAGTGACAACTTGTAGAAGTTTCTACTAAAAGGTGGCAGTGTAAAAGTCAAACATACCAACGTTTGCTTACCTAATTTTGACTAAGTTGCATAACCTAACAGCCTCCTTTTAAAAAGTTGAAAGAAATTGAATAGTAGGATTGTCAAGATTTAGAACAATGTATATAAAGTAGCTGGCATTGTTTCACAATAATTTTTTTATTCTTTGTTCCAAAACCATGGTGTTGGGGGTGTTTTTCCACGCAGGGTTTCTCTGTGCAGCCCTGACTCTTTTGGAACTCGCCCATCTGCCTACCTCTGCCTCCTGAGTTCTAGGATTAAAGTTGTGCGCCATCGTCACCCATTTAACAGTGCTTTAATACTTAGGACAGCACAGAGAACCTGATGAGTTACTGATGTTGCAAGCTTAGAAATAACCTTCACAAACCATATCAGTATTATGACACATAGACTTCTGTAAAGAATAGATGACTTGTAGAGCATGTTATAAACTTGTCTTATTCTAATTCCAATTGTGGGGAACACTAAAGAGGGATGAAAGCCATTTCAAAGATCAGTTTGGTAGGATTCAATGACAAATTGGTAAAGAACAGCTTGGCTGCCTGTTGTGTTCTCCAGAGCAGCTATTTTTGTTTTGTTTTGAGAATCTTTTTAATTATGAATACATGTGTCTAAATGTGCGCATGCGTACCACATGCCCACAGAGGCCAGAAGACTGCTTTGGATCCTCTAGCTAGAGTTATAGGAGGTTGAGAACTTTGATGTCAGTACTAGAAACTGAACCTGTGTCCTCATAAGTGATGAGTGTTAACCACTGTGCCATCTCTGCAGACCTTTCCACGGCAGCATTTTAAGTGCTTAAATTGTATTTTCTTTAATTCATCTTCACAGTAACTATTATATAGGCAAGATTTATGTCCACATTTTATGGACCACACAGATGAGAAGCATACAGAGCTTGCTTAGTCAGCTTTTTGAGTTAGCGGTAATGAGAGTAAATAGGCATTGGATGGAAAGGATAAATTTCCTGTGGAATGTTATTGCCATAGAACCTCAGGAAAGTACAAATAGCATTAGGAGTATAGTAAGGACTAAAGAATAGTTCAGTGGTAGGATATTGGCCTAGGATATGGAAAACCGTCAGTATCAGGAAAAAAGACAAAGGGGGATAAAAATATGGGGGCTCTGTAACCCAGGTATTGCCATGATGTAAGGAGGCTAAATTGTTGTACAGTCTTGTGACTTTCTATTTAACTGTATCTTGCCCTAAATTGAAGGTGTGTTTGATTGTTCTGAACTGGAATATGCTAAGCTACAAAAGTAACCCTTAATAGAACCAGGAAGGAGAGCCTCTGGACTAAGAGAGTGGAATGATAACCGTAACATTCTACTATGTTTTTACTGTCCTGTCTGCTCTTCTTTAAATCTAGTGGATGTAGAGTAGTGTGCCTATAGATTCCACTATGCTTGACTGAGATGAATGGTTCTCGACCTTCTTAATTCTCTGACCCTTTAGTACAAGTTCCTCATGGTGTGGTGACCCCCAACCATAAAATTATCCTCTTCCTACTTCATACCTATAATTTTGCTACTGTTATGAATCATAATGATCCAATATGTGACCCCCAACTCTTGACTCACAAATTGAGAACCGCTACCTTAGATGGTGGGCTTTAATGGAAAAGTTAATGTAGAGTTTGAACTCTTCCCTTATAACAGTTAGCTATAGAACTGCTATGTGATTATTATAATCTGTATTTATATTTATATTTATACCTTACCACCTTAGAAAAAAATTTGAAAGGCTGACCTCAAACTCACAGAGGTCCACTTGCTCATGAGTATTAGAATTTAGGTGTATACCACCATGCCTAATTCCAAGTACTTTTAAATGTATCTAACTACTTCACAAATAAATAATGACCAAATTGAAGTTTCTCCCTCTATATATTTAGATTATAGTGGGGTAGATAGAAACAGAACTCTTAATTGCAGAGAGTGATGAGCAGAAGAAGAAAAGCTTGGAGTACAGTTCAGATTGGCATCAAGGGTACTGTTTTAGGTTGGATAAAAGAAAAGGCCTCTCTGAGACAGTATACTTTCTCAGATCTGGGTGAATTAAACTGTATAGGTGTACTGGGAAAAGAAACAGCAGAAAGAACAAAGACCTGGAGACAGAAAGGGCTTTAACATACAGAAGAAATTCAGAGATGAAGCCGGGCGGTGGTGGCGCACACCTTTAATCCCAGCACTCGGAAGGCAGAGGCAGGCGAAGAGCTAGTTCCAGGACAGGAACCAAAAGCTACAGAGAAACCCTGTCTCGAAAATCAAAATAAATAAATAATTAAAAAAAAGAAAGAAATTTAGAGATGACATGTTATGAGCCTGCTGAAAAGACTTGTAGAGGGGCTGGAGAAGTGGCTCAGAGGTTAAGCGTACTGGCTGCTCTTCCAGAGGTCCTGAGTTCAATTCCCAGCAACCACATGTCTCATAACCATCTGCAATGAGATCTGGTGCCCTCTTCTGGCATGGAGGTGTTCGTGCAGGAGGAATATTGTATGCATAATAAATAAATCTTAAAAAAAAAGACTTGTGGAAGATAAAGTTGAAGAAATATGTTCAGGTCAGATTGAATAGGACCTAATAAACCTTTGTATGGTCTTTGGACTCTATGCTTAATGTGGTGAGTCATCTGTACTAATTTTCCTGATTAACATATTTAAGTGATCGTCCTATGTAAAAAAAAATGATTATAAGAAGGCAGTAGTAGAAGCAAGTAGGCTATTAAGGAAGATCTTGAATAGTTAAGTGAGACATAACTTGGGCCAAATGGTTTATTAGAATGAGAAAGAGTTAATGTTCAAGCTCTATTTTAAAGCCAATGCTAGTACAACCGCTACTGATTGACTTCAGTAGGAGGGATTGAGACTATTTTCTGCTCTTACTCTGTCTTGTAGTTCGTATTTTTTAAAGTGATTAAAAAAAAATCTGTTAAAATTTTAGACTTCTGTGTTTATCATGTTAAGGTTAAGATGTCCTGTAATGAACAAATGAAGATGTCAAGTACAACTGACTACTGGAATATGGAACTAATGCGAGAATGTGGTTTGTGAAGTATGTAATAGCCCAATACTGATTAGCCAGGACCCTCAGAAAGGATAAGTCGAGAAAGGAAGCCAAGATCTGACTTTAGTCATAGACAACATATGAAGATAAAACACAGTAGAAGGAACCAAAAAGGGAAACTCTCATTTAAAGCTGTATGAAGAAAATGTTTACAAGGAAGGCGTTTCTGACTGTAAGAGCTGCTGGGAGGTCAGGGAAGCCGTGCAATGGAGCAGACACTGACCACTAATATCAGGGTTC